CAATAATTTTGATATCAATTTACCTTCTATCATCCAATAATAACCTTCTAAATACTAAATTTCCAAATATTAAACAATATTAATAATAATCTTCCAAATATTAGAAAATATTAACAATAATCTTCGAAATATCAAAAAATATTGACAATAATCTTCCAAATGAATCAAATAAATATTAAACTGCACATACTTAAAAAATTATAATTATCAATTGTGTTTCATTCTGTGTCGACTGGAAAATCGTGCAATTTGTCCGCTTCAGTTGGTCTAGTTTCGACTTTCACTCCTACACCGTGCTAAATAATTGTATGCGTGACGTAAATATATAGAGGCGGAAATGTATCAAACACTGTGTCGATTAGACGGTCGATAATGATTATAGAAGTTCACTGTGCTAGAGTAAACTTGACACGAGGTCTGCGTCTGACTAATCACTGACTTCGACTACTGAATTTACTCAGGCCTCCAGAACCCCCCCGTGATCGTACGTAGCAATATTCTATATATCATTCTGTCACTCTACACATTAATTGTCCTACTATACAAACTTACGATACTCTGTCACGTGTACCTTATGAAGTTTCAACTTAATTTCCAAAGAATTCTCGGAAATTCCTCCTTGATGAATCTTTTACAACTCACGATCGATGAAAGGACCATTATCTCATATTGAACCTTAAGAATTTACTTTCAGATACGCATGTTCCACAGTAAACGCATGGAAAGTAAAACAATATAAAATAGAACGAAGCTGAATAAAATTTGATATCGAACCAGCCAAAATTAGAGTAGAACAATAATCTCTAATAATTCGTACATCCTAGATTTTCGTTATTTTTAATCACAGTTTTATACGGTAATTTACAGTTGATACTGCAATACAATTTTTCATACAATTAAAAGATTTTATGTGCAGGTAGAGATAAAATAAGAGGAGCGAAAGGAAGGCTATCGTTTCAGCAAAAATTGAGTTTCATAATTCTTCAGGTCATAAATTTCGTAATATACTACTATTTCCATCCTTGTTTTTCTTCCGGCGAGCAATGACAATGCTATAAAATACAATCTCCAACTATGCATTTATTTACGACTGCAATAATTTTCATGTATTAATGCCCAAATCGTTGCAAAATGTCACACCTGTTGCCGCATATAAGGTTGCGCTGGGTCGGAGAGTTACGAACCGACTACAACGCGATTTTCTCTTTTGACCCGGCAAATTTTCACTAACTTTCCTCCGATAGAAATAAGAGCAACATGCAAAGGAAGCAGTTACACGAGCGGAAGTTCAAATGTGTTCTGGGCTTGATTTTTCAAGGCTTCAATTTCTTTAATCAAAGTCGATTTTAAGGCTGCAATTCCTCTAATAAACGTCCATTCGTTATTTTTCATTCCTTTATCTGTGAAC